AGGGGGCGGGAGCAGTCCGGTCCTCTGCAGGCGATTTTGCAGTCCCCAGGGGGGACAGGAAATGGAGCCTGTAATTTTAGTCGCAGGGAGAGGAATGATCGAAACTCTGTATTTTATTTTCTATATTATTTCTTTCTCCCAGTTCACGCGCTGCAGGATTGGTGGAAATCGGTCTAGAGGGTCTTCCTACGTGTGTTTGGGTTAGGGACGGAGATAGGAGGGAACGGGATGGGGGAAGGGTTTGGTCTTGTAAAAGATGCCCGATTGATTACTAGACCGTTTCGACGTGGTCACGGGAATTCCTATTTGTGCACAGCCTCCAACACCAGAAAGTCCTGTCAAAAAAAGGGGTGTGGAGAGCATTGGCGTCAGCTGGAAGCTACCAGAGGCCTGAGCATTTCATCCCTATTAGGGAAGTGAGGTAGTGTGCAGGGCCCGAAGTGTGCTGTTTCGTAAGGTACCTTCCCTCCACCCTCCTCTCGCTCCATATTCTTGAGTGTTTTGAGTGGTTCTGTTTGAAATAGCACCTTTCAGAATTATTCAGCCATATTTTTTTTTTCCTGCAGCAAATGATAAAATCAGGAGCTTTGACGTTTTTTGGCTAGATCAAGTGACTGCTAAATGTTTTAGCATCAGAAAAGACAAAGTCTTCTGCGTTCTTTTCACACACGGCCTGTTTTCTTTATGAGCTTAGGCTAGTCTTACAAATTTTCAGATACTGTTGTACTTCTTTAAAGTAGATGGTCCTACCTGTTTAGTTAAGGATACACAATAACATACAGTAGTACAACACGTAGGCTGGTGGAAAATTTGATCTTTATGTGATCACAGTTTAAAGTTCCTAGTGATCTTTATTGTAAATATACATGACTACACAGTAGTGTCAGAATCCTTGTTTTTAGGGGGAGAAATGAAACGTTAACTAGTTTTAACATTCTTGATCTAGTGGTAACAAATCATGAAAAATCCTCATGGTTTATTTTCTCCGTATAAAAAAGACTGCACTTGAGTATGCAGGAACAGTGTTTACTTCTCCCTTGATTTCTTTTTCTACCCCCCTCCCCCCCAAGTAAAGCTTTGACATGGAAGCATAGCTATTAGGTACTTAGCTATGTAAAGATCTCAGTTTTGGGGAGTGTTGTTCTAAGTGGTTTTGAGGATGGAATGTACACTAAGGAATTTTAGGTGGTTAGTATTTTAAAGGTATTTTATTTTAATGGCTATATGTAGTATTTAAGTTATAAGTGCCATATACTGTCTAGTATCAGTCCTATTTGTGGTGTGTAAAACTGCCCGTTTGCTCTTCATAAGTTCTCTGAATGTGGCTTGTTTGACAAATGCTATTTCATTGAGAAAAACTAAAAATCAAAGAAAAAGATCACTTCTCAGTATCTTGGTGGTAAATTTGATGGTGAATATCTTTCTTGAGAAATACTCATATTCTAAAGTTTGGATTTAACCGAATTGAGGTTCTATTTTAACCAGTTAAGACAGTTCTTAAAAAATAGTGGTACTGGGCCATCAAGTGTCATGGTGGTTGAGGTGCTGGACTTCCACGTGGTCGACCATGTTTGAATCCTGGATCTGGTGGCTTGCTTTCTTACCCCCCCCCCTTTTTTCTCTCTCTCTTTCGTAAGCAAACATGCCCTATAGCAAATTAACCATAATAATAATAATAAATAAAATTAAATAATTATGTAAAAACAGAAATCGTGGTATTAAAATAGCCTTTATCTATTTTTATTATATGTGCCTTTATTATAATCACACTTAAAAGTTCTAATTTGTAATACAGTGCTTATTTCTGTTTTTCTTTTTGTAATAATATGAATATGTATGTCTTTTTATTGTCACTCTAAGTTGGCTGTAAGTAGTTTAGCAAACCCTCAATTATCCATATCTCATTGATGACAAGAGAACCTGAAGATAGCTTTGAAGACTCCTAAACAAGGAAAATAGATTGTCCCTCAGCAAAATAAAACTGATCCCTCCCCGCCAAAAAGATGTATAGTCCCTTAAATTCAGTTAAACAGTTAAGTTTCTATATTTATTTATGGTAGGGACTTTTTCTTTAAGGCCTTATTCAGAAATGCTTTATTTTTGCATTGGTGATGATTCTAACAGAAAGTATTTAGAATAAATGAAAGTGTGTTTATGAAAGGGCCTATTAGGGCATTTAGTAAATGTTGAGTACAAAGCATTGTTATTAGTATTTTTAATTCAATCCGATGGAGGAAGAATCAGTGACAGTAGATGTGTAAGTTAAGAGTCATAAATGAGAATCATAAAGGCATATTAGTCTAGGCCCATTTAGTGTAAGGGTTGATTCCTTATACACCTACAATCTCTAAGGCTAGCTGATTATAGCTGTAGCTGACTTGCATGATAGCTTGAGTCATCCACTATAAGGCAAATTTATTTCTTGTCTATTTCTTTATTATAAACAGAAAAATATAGAACATCTTAGTTTTTTAAAAATAAAAACATATTTTGATGCTTATGGAGATAATCTACTGAAAACTATTTTCTTGAAAGGCTGACTAATTTAGTGAACTGATATGTATTGAAGATATCCAACATTGAGAATTATTATGGCAAACAACAGAAAAAGCATATTATTAGACATTATTGTGCCTTAACTGATTCTGCATAGCCAATACGATTTTGTATGTTTTTTTTTTTTTTTTTTTTTTTTGTCTAGAAGGTGTGTGAACTCACCAGAGAGAGAAAGAAATCATCCTCTGGGGGATGGCCACATCACAGTCCCTTCTCCTCCATTCTGTTCTTGGGATTTGGGGCATACACACACCCACTCACCATGATTTTCAAGCCACTGGGTCTAAGAATCAAACAGTGGAGTTAGCCATGTGGGATCTAGTTGCCTTAATCCCCATGCCACCTCCTGGACCTAGTTTGTGTAGATCTTCTAATTTTTGTGTTTTTGCTTTGCACTTATTAAGTTACTTTATTCTTTTTCTTTTTTTTTTTTTTTTGAGAGGTTTTTGCTATAGGACTCGTGCGCTCGCCAGACAGAGAGAGACAGAGACAGAAAGCGAGAAATCACCCCCCCAGGGGGGATGGGCACGCCGCAATCCCTTCTCCTCCATTCTCCTCTTGGGATCTTGGGCACGCACGCACATGCGCCTGACGTGAGTTCTAAGCTACCGGGTCCAGGACGTGAACCGCGGTCAACTACGTAGGAGTCCAGTGACATAGCCATTACGCTAACTGCTGGTTCCCAAGTTACTTTATTCTTGTAAAATACGATTTTGTTTGTTTTTTTTTTTTTTTTTTTTTTTTGTCTAGAAGGTGTGTGAACTCACCAGAGAGAGAAAGAAATCATCCTCTGGGGGATGGCCACATCACAGTCCCTTCTCCTCCATTCTGTTCTTGGGATTTGGGGCATACACACACCCACTCACCATGATTTTCAAGCCACTGGGTCTAAGAATCAAACAGTGGAGTTAGCCATGTGGGATCTAGTTGCCTTAATCCCCATGCCACCTCCTGGACCTAGTTTGTGTAGATCTTCTAATTTTTGTGTTTTTGCTTTGCACTTATTAAGTTACTTTATTCTTTTTCTTTTTTTTTTTTTTTGAGAGGTTTTTGCTATAGGACTCGTGCGCTCGCCAGACAGAGAGAGACAGAGACAGAAAGCGAGAAATCACCCCCCCAGGGGGGATGGGCACGCCGCAATCCCTTCTCCTCCATTCTCCTCTTGGGATCTTGGGCACGCACGCACATGCGCCTGACGTGAGTTCTAAGCTACCGGGTCCAGGACGTGAACCGCGGTCAACTACGTAGGAGTCCAGTGACATAGCCATTACGCTAACTGCTGGTTCCCAAGTTACTTTATTCTTGTAATGTATTTTAAGACAAAACCAGAACATTCACTTAGTTTTTGCCTTGAAAATATAATCACAACATTTAATTCTAATGAAAATAGAGATTTTTTTCCTTAGAATTGAATAATTTGAGATATGTAAATGTCAGTGATTTAAAGGGATGGGCTTTTGAAGATTTTTCAGACCATGCTACCTTTCTATTATATATATTGTTACTCTACAGTTTTAAGTTTAATTCATATTTAAGAATTTTCATCGTATGACCAAATACTTGTCTCTGCGGAGAGTAAACCTTTTGTTTACTGTGATTTCAAGTACTTGTGTAATCTTTTGTTTTTCATGCCTCATTTTTTTCATTTGCTTATTTTTCTCTGGTGAAGTCTTTCTGTACCCTAGAGCAGCTTCATAAAATGCTTCTCAGTACAATTTTCCACATGGACAGATCTGTCAGATAAACTTATCAGTTCCATTTGTTCCTGTAGACAACCCTTCTGTAACTGTCCTTCCTGCTTCAGTCTAGATTGTTTCCTCTTTAGGCCTGCTGCATAGCTATCACGCTGGTACTTCCCCTAGCTGACATTCTGGGAATTTCTTTCACTTCTGCTAAATTCCCTTTTTCTGTATCCCATGTCTTCCATTTGGTTTATTTCCTTAGTTTGGTTTTCTCTGCTACGACTCTAAAGTCGTATAAGAGTATGTGGGAACTATTTTGGAGGGGATTTTATTTTTACCCTCATACTTGACTACCTGTTGAGAGATTTCTATATTGGAAATCGTTTTCCCTCAAAAATTTGAAGGTGGTTTACCATTATTACCTGGATTACAATGTTGATGTTTTTGATCTCCAGAAAGTTGTCTGTTCTACTCTTTGGGAGGTTTCAGCCCTTTCACTGAATTTTTAAATTTCTGCTTAGGAGGCAGTGGTACCCAGCTACTTGAGAGACTGAGGCAAGAGGATCATGACACATTGAGACCTGTCAAAAAAAAAAAAAAAAAAGAAAGAAAATGAAATAACCCACACATAACACCAATTTCAGTTAAATTTATTTTCAATTGTCAGAGGGTATGTGTGCTTGCCAGAGATAGAGAAAAAGAGAGAGAGGAAGCACCACCCCCCCAGTGAGGTGCGGTCATGCTGTAGTCCCGTCCCCTCCTTTTCTCCATTCTCTGTGATTTGGGGCACACACGCACGTGTGCTTGGCATGTTTTCCAGGCCTCTGGGACCGGAATTTGAGCTGGGGTTGGGCATGTGGGATCTGGCTACTACCTTAATCACTAAACTATGGAGCTGCCCTCCTTTCCCATTATTATTTCTTTTAAGAGCGCTTATTCTTTTTTCTTCTATTATAGCATTTTGTTTTTTTGTTTTTTTGTTTTTTTTTTTCATGTGTGCAGCATCTTCTGTTTTCTGTCCAGGGATGATAATTACAGTTCTGAAATGTTCTTTCCTGTACCGTTTTTTTTTTTTTTCCCCTAACTTTTTGTGGGGTTGTTTTGATTGCTTAAATTTAGTTGGATCTGTGTGATCCTTAGTATTCCTTTACATTTAAGAGAGAGTTGCCAAACTGATTGAAAGCTCACTGGGCATGCATGAGCAGGGCTTAGTGACTAATGAACTCCCATATTATTAATCTTTCTTTTCTCTGTATGGTGGGTAAGAAGGCTTTCAGTTTCTTCAGATAAAGGTCCTTAATTTTTCTGTCTCTGTGTGGGTGGAATGATGGCGAGAGGAGGGGTGTATTAGTCACTTGGGATGCCACTATAAAATGCCATAAATTGCGTGGCTTAAACAGCAGAAAATGTTTCTCAGTTCTGGAGGCTGGAAGCCTGAAGTCACTGTGCCAGCATGGTTAGGTTTTGGTAAATTAGCCTTCTTGTTCAGTGCTCACACAGCCTTTTCTAGGTGCTTGCTTGTGGAGATAGAGCTTTTCTTCCTCTTATAAGAACACTAGTTTTACTGGATTAGGACCCCACCTTTATGACCTCATTTAATTTTACTTACCTCCTAAAAGCCCTGTCTCCAGATTCAAATAGGCATTAAGTAAGACTTTACCATTAATTTTGGAGACACAAAATTCAGCTCATAGGGAGGGAAGTTGGCAGAGGTTATGAGTTTAGATGACAGCGTTCTAGTACTTGGTGGGGGAGGAGAGCTACTAGTCTTGCTGTTCAGTTCCAGAATTATCACTCAGTCTTCCTGCTTTAATACCAATATTTAACGGCTCCCTTTTTCTGTATGGATGCCTTTGAGCATGGAACCACTCTGAGTTACTTTGTCTGGAGCTCATACCTCTTTTACTCCCTTAGAAGTGTGTGTGGGTGTTCTGCTCTTTGTTTGCTCAGTGCCTCCTAGTTTCTGAACTCTGCTGAGGAACTGTAGAGTGAATAGTTATTGTCTCTCTCATTATGCTAAGGCATATACCATTCCACCATCAGTTTTTTTTCCTTACACGTTGTTTTTCAGCTTATACTTAAAGTATCTTTAAGTCATGTCAAAGATAGAATTTGTGTTTCTGCTTTTTCTTCTTTTTCATTGAGAGAGGATATGTGCTGGGTCCAGGATTTGAATCGTGCTGTTGGCCATGTGGGATTCAGCTGCCTTAGCCACCAGCTATGGGCTGAACTCTCTGTAATTTTAAAATATTTTATTGTGATGGAGTTTACCTCCGTCCCTTGTATGTCTTGTACATTGGAATTTGGGTATAAAGATATGACAAAATTAAGACTAAACAGCTTTGGTCTTTTATAGGTGACCTTCAATACTGCATTTCATTCAGATTGTTCCATTATTAGTGATGCTAAATTTGATCACATTGTTGAGGTAATCACTAGGTCTCTCCATTGTAATTGTTTAAATTTCTCTTGCATTTAGCTAGTAGGCTGTGGAGTGAAAGTTTATTTTAAAGTTTATTTCTTGAGAGAGAAGGAAGGATAGAAAAAGGAGTGGGAACATGAAGGCACTTCCAGTAGTGGTTTCATGCTGTGATCCATCAACCCCCAGCCAGCCTGGTTTGTGGGCATGCAGGGAGACCTTGGGATGCGAACCTGGAATCTTCCTGTGTGGGTCCAGCATCACTAAGCATTGTGTCACTATTGTACCACAGTAGCTAGTCCAGAGAGATGCCTTTTGAATAGCCAATTTCCCGACTATCTTTTATTTGCTGGCTTTATTACCAGTTAGTGATCTTAGCCTGAGTCACTCATTTTATTGTGGCTTAAAGAATGTTGCTAAATTATTTCTAAATATAAAATGAACTAGTTTTAGGGGTGAAGAATTCAAAATAAATTGCAACCTGTGCCTAGGTTAAAATTTGGCAGTCTTGGGGCCAGCAGGTGGTGTGGTGGTTGAGGATGTTGGACTTCTACATGGCCAACCTTGGTTCAGGTCCTGGGCGCAATGACTTGCTTTCTCTCTCTCTCTCTCTCTCACTCTCACTCTCACTCTCTTGCTCTGTCCCTCTCTGCTCAAATTAGAATAAAGAAATTAAATAAATTAATTCTTTAAAAAATTATTTAAAAATAATTGGCAGTCTTCTATTTAGGGCACTAAAGTAAATATTGCTAATTCATTGGTATGACCAGAATCTTACAGTAAGCACTTCACTTGAGTCATTTTATTTGTGGTGTGTGTGAGTGTGTATGTATATGTGGGCATTTGTTTTGTTTTCAAGATAAAGTCTTAATTGTGTTGCAATCCTCCTCCTTCTGCTTCCTGAGTAGCTGGGATCACCACTATGTCTACCACTATGTCTGTCTCCTTTATATATTTTTCCTTGCCAGAGGGTGAGTACTCTCACCAGAGAAACAGAGGGAGAAAATATCCCGTAGTGGACATTGGCCACATCACTGTCCTTTCTCCTAGATTTTGAACACTCAAGCACACACGTGTGTTTTTTCAGGGTATAGGGACTGGGATTTGAACTGCAATTGGCCACGTGGGATCCTGCTCCCTTAACCACTAAGCTTTGGAGTCAGCCCATGCCTGATGCATTAATTAGTTAATTAATTAACTCATTCATTTATTGTAAGAATCGTTTTATTTAACCTTCTTTATTTTAATTTGACAAGAGAGAGAGAGAGGAAAAAAGCAAGAAAGCAAGCCTCCAGGTCCAGGATGCAAATGGCAGTTGGCCATGTGGGAGTCCAGTCTTTAACTATCAAGCCACATGCCAGCCCCTGCCTGGTTCTTAAAATGTTCTCCATGCTGGCCAATCCAACTTTGTGATCTTCACGCTTAAGCCTCCTGAGTAGTTGGGGCTACAGCACATGCCACCACAACTTTTTAGTCGAGTGTGCACTACCAAGGCTGGGCAATGAATTCTTTATTTTTAAAGAATTATTTAATTTTAATTAATTGATTGATTTTAATCTGACCAGAGAGGGACAGAGTGAGAGAGAGAGAGAAAGGGAAAGTGAGAACACAAGCCACGGAGTCCAGGACTTGAACTGCATTCGGCCATGTGGGAGTCCAGCACTCTCAACCACCATGCCACCTGCTGGCCCAAATTCTTAATTCATTATAGTTTGAGTTTTGGAAGTCTATTTGCAGAGTTTGCAGTTAAAAATTGATTGTGGTAGTGCAGTTACAATGGGAAATCTATTACAGTATTGGTAAAAATGGGCCAAAAAACAGAAACCCTTATCAGTCTCCCCTTTTTTTAATTGCTGAAGGGTACTTGCACTTGCTAATGAAAGAGAAAGAAAGAGTACTTCCCAGTGGAGTGTGGTCATATTACACTCCTTTTTCCTCCACATTTCCATCTTTTAGACTTGAGACGGGTGTGCACGCACACCCAGCATGTTTCTCAAGCCACAGGGCCAAGATTCAAACCACAGTCAGCCATTTCAGATCCAGCTCCCTATGTATAGGACTTACCTGCTACACTATGGTACTGGCCCCCAGTTTTGTAATACAGGAAATACAAGGGATTTTAAAAAGTTTGTGAAGGGCCAGTGCCCTAATTTAGTGGTTAAGGGAACTGGATTATACATGGATGACAGTGTGATTTGTATCCCAGCCCTATAGTTTTTTCTTAAAGAATTATTTCTTTTGGGCCAGCAGGTGGCAGGGTGGTTGGGGTGCTGGATTCCCACACCGGCAACCTCAGTTCGAGTCCTGGACCTGGTGATTTGCTTTCTCCCTCCCCCTCCCCATCAAATTAAAAATAATAATAATGATAAATGAAATTAAATAAATAATTATTTAAAAGTTAGGTTCATTAAATTTTATTCAATAGAAGATCTTCTAAGTCACTTAAAAATGGACTACATAGGGGACCAGTAGATAGTGTAATGGTTACATCACTGGATTCTCACAGAGTCGTCCACGGTTCAAGTCCTGGACCCAGCGACTTAAAACTCATGCCGGACATATGTGTGTGCATGCCCAAAATCCCAAGAGGAGAGTGGAGGAGAAGCGATTGCAGCATGACCGATCCGCTGGGGGTGGGGGGTGATTTCTCACTTTCTCTCTCTATCTCTGGAAAGTACATGAGCCCTTTAGCAAAAAATCTCAAAAAAAAAAAAGACTACATAAAAATGCTAATGATTGCAGCTATCTTTTCTTTTGTGTGAGTGCGTGTATCAAATTTTAAAGTAATGATGAATAAGATTAAGTAATTCTTTTAAAAAGATTTATTTAATTTTTATTTATTATTATTTTTAAAAATTTGCTACTGGGTACACGTGCTCACCAGAGAGAGAGAGAGAAAGTAAGAGAGAGAGAGAACACGCAAGCCACCAGGTTCAGACTCAGTCCACAGTAAGATAGTCGCCAGGTGGGAGTCCAATGCCTTGACAACCACATCATCTCCTGGCCCTTCCAGGCGTATAGTTCTATGTAATTTTTATAATTCCTTTAAAGTTTAATTAGATTATTACCTTTAATAAATGCCATATGGAAGCTCAGAAAATTTAAATATGAAATAAGTAGTAAATCTAGGTTTCTGATCTTTAGTTGCCTGACTTTAGAGCC